TCATAATCCCTGATTTTTTGCTATTCTCTGTTTTTCATAATTATTATTATTATTATTATTATTATTATTCTATTTTAGCCTACCTAATTCTATAGTAATTAGACTGTACTATTTTATTTTATGCTATGCTGTTCTATTGTATGGTTTTTTATGTTATAGTATGCTATTCTGTTGTGTTGTGTTCTATTGATCTGCACTGCTTTTTTGTATTGTTCTTCTATTGTCTTTGCTACTTTTTTTCACAAATCTCTCCTGAACTATTCTATTCTATTCTATTCTATTCTATGCTTTGCTATGCTATTTGCTATCCTATTCTATGCTGTTCTATTCTATGCTCTTCTACACAATGCTATTCGTTGCTATTCTGTGGTATTATATGCCATGCCATGTTAACCTATGCTATACTATTCTATCCTGATTTTCTATTCTTCTCTATTGTGTTTTATTCTATGCTATGCTATTTCATTCTATACTCTTCTATGCTATACTATTCCATTCTATGCTATCCTTTGCTTTCTTAGCTATGCTTAAGCTTCAGTATTCTATGCTATTTTGTTGTGTTCAGTTAGTATATTTCTGTTCCGTGTTGCAGGTTTGTCCTGTCCTAACCTCTTCTAGGCTGTTTTATCTCTTCTTTACTGAACTATTCTATTCCATTCTATTTTATTCTATTTTTTGCTATTCTTTGTTATTCTGGTCTATTATACCTAGCCTGTAGTAGTCTATGCTTTTTTAATCTATGGTTTTCTATGCTATACTATGCTGTTCCATTGTGTTGTGTTCTATTCAGTGTTCTGCTTTGCGTTTTTGTCCTGTGCCCTAGTCTTTTCTGTGTTGTCTTTTTCTTCTCTCCTGAACTGTGCTATTAGATATTATATGCTATATTATATGTTATGCTATGGTATGCATTGCTTTGCTATGTTATTAACAGCATAATGCTAGTCTATTCTATTTTATTCTTTGCTATGCTATGCTATGATCTATGCTATACATACATACATACATACATACATACATACATACATACATACATACATACATACATACATACATACATACATACATACATACATATACTTTATTTAACCTCCAATTACTATTCTATTGTATGCTATTCTATGCTATTCTGTGCTATTGTATACTATGCTTTCCTGTGCTATGCTATACTATTCTGTTCTGCGTTGCTGTTTTGTCCTGTCCTAATATATCTTTTCTATGCTGTACATTTGCTCTTTTCTTTACTGAACTGTTCTGTTCTATTCTATTTTATTCTACTCTATAGTATTCTATTTTATTTTTGGTATTCTTTGTTAGTCTATTTTATACTAGATATTCTATAGTAGTATGCTATTCTCTTCGTTTCTATGCTATGCTATGATCTATGCTATACTATACTATTCTATTCTATGCTATTCTGTGCCATTGTATGCTATGCTTTCCTATGCTATGCTATCCTATTCTGTTCTGTGTTGCTGTTTTGCACTGTCCTAATATACCTTTTCGATAGTGTACGTTTGCTCTTTTCTTTACTGAACCGTTCTGTTCTACATGTATTCTATTTTGTTCTATTGTAGAGTAGTCTATGCTATTGTCTACTTTTCTATGCTATTCCATTCTATGCTACTCTACTATACTATTCCATTCATTCTATTCTGTTCTGTGCTGTTATGCTATGGTATTCTATAATCTATTTTGTTGAGTTATGTTCTCTTATTGTTTTTGTTTTTGTTCTCTTTCTTACGGTATTCTTTTTTTTATGATGTGCCATGCTATTTTGTTCTCTTCTTTCCTGAATTCTGCTGTGCTATGCTATGCTATGCTATGCTGTGCCATGTTGTGCTATGGTAATTGCTATGCTATGCAGGGCTATGCTATTCTATTCAGTTATGCTTTATTCTATTCTATTTCTATGTAGATGTAAGATAACATCATGTTTCTGTTTTTATCCTAGTGGACAATGATGATGAAGGGTTTGATTTGATTCAGCCATCACTCATTCAGCAGCTGAGAAGCATCTTAGATCAGTACCCAGATGATGGACAGATACTCAAGGTTAAATGATGATGATTTTTGAAATTTACTTGCTTTAGTTCAACAACCAGTGACACATTAGCATATGACAGGCTAAGCTTAGAACCAATCCGAGCTAAGTACATATGAAACTGGTTTGGACGCATTCGAGGAATAAGATCCTGTTTATTAAAGGTTTCCATTGGTTTTTGTCATTTAACATCTGATAACAAATCTTCATTGCTAAAACAGCAAGAGCGCAACATTCTTTACATTATTCCCTGGGTAACAAGTAGCAAGAAAACAGTCAGTCAGTTGGTCAATCCCTCCTGAAACTCATTTAGGAAGATCCCTATTTTGACAAAGTTACGCTTTTACTCCGATTGTATGATAACAGTTAATTGTGCTAATTGCAGCCTAACCTAGACCAGAATATCGGACCGATAACCAGCGATTAAGGTTATTATCCACGGGCTTGTCTTTTAAGCAGTTAAATCAGTGTTTCTTATTTCCGATGACCCTGTTTCAATCGCTGTTTTGGGCATGGATCTTACTCTTATCTAAAAGGATGTATTCGTTGAGAATCAATTAGGTCTGTAAAGTTGTATTTTTGTTTGCTGTTTTTAGGAGCTGATCCAAAACGCAGAAGATGCTGGTGCAAGTCATGTGAAATTCCTACACGACAAGCACAGCTATGGAACCGAAAAATTGCACAACGCAGACCTTGCTCAGTTTCAGGTGGATTTTGCTTAGACCGTGTAAAAAAAAATTACGAAATCCCCAAAAAATTGGGATCAAAATGGCTGAAATTGTCCGCTAAAACATTAGGCGGAAGCATAAAATACAGCGCCCCGTTGACTGGGTTTGCCGGGTGTTCCATACATTCCACAACTCGGGCGACTCCTAACGTGGTAGAGCCACTTGATCATTTCAAAGTTGCAATAGATCTGCCTCGTTGAAATACCTCTATGACTGAGAACTAGGAGAAAAACTTCAGGCAACTTATATCTCGGTCTCCAAAACGGATGCATCCACATAAACTAGACAAACTACAACTCTGCTTGATCTGTTGGAACAAGAGTCAGGTTGTTCTTTCTTTTGTTGATACTGTGTATTATATGCCTTTGTCTATGTTGTAGTGTCTGAAGGTCCCTTTTTGTTTCTTGTATTTCAATTTTACTCTTAGGGCCCAGCACTTTACGCCTACAACAACGAAACGTTTACCAAAGAAGACTGGAGAGGTATCCGAATGCTGTGTAACAGTATCAAAGTTAAAGAACCCATGAAGGTGGGGCGGTTTGGCGTGGGTTTCAAGTCTGTTTTTCACGTTACAGGTAAGATGCCTTCTGACCTTTGCGAGCAATCATCAGTTACCCTACATGTGGTGAAGTAGATACGAAAATTGTCTGGATAGTTACCTCTTAAACAACAGAGTGCAAGCGAAAAAATAAATCCGAAAATATGAAAATTATACTTTGAAGTGCGGATGAGACACTGAAGATGTGAGAGATCATCGCAGTTGTAAAAGCTTTCAAACCTGCTTTTCGTAACTTCTGTAGTACCGTTCACAGTATCGCGTATATCTCTCACGTCTTCAAAGTCCAAGTGACGTAATTACCTTTTGCCTCTTGACGAGCAACTCGTGCAAAAACCTAAAGAGCTTGGAACACATGGCTAACCTATTTAAATTGAATCCATTTAGCCGCTTATGTTTGGAAAACCTATCGACTTTATTTTGCAAGATAAAAGAAAATCACTGAGTAACAATCAATGCTATATGTTCTGCCTGAAACTATACAGTTACTATACGACAAGAAATGTCTTCTTTGCACGTCAAGTGATGACCCTACTTTATTCACCTGAAAAGGATCACAAACTATTCATCGTGACTTTGTTGATATTAAAGCAAACAACACCAAACGTCGTGACTTGTTCTTAAATTTATCTGGCAACAACCTGTTATTGTTCTTTCTGCACGCCAAAACAAAACTTGAAAACCAGCCTTAGATATGAAAGTGAAGCAATTACTTGTGTCAGGTACGAGCCAGCTTAACTGAAAAAGATAATCTCTTATGGTGGAACGTTTGCACTTAAAGGTTGCAGACGTCGTCTCTGTGCAGACTGGTGTTACGAAATAGAGTACTTTCTCATGAACGTATTTACCGTTTACACTGGCGATGACAACAGTGACATTTTCGTCAGCTAATCGCATTTGATTCACCTCTTTTTACCTCAGATCTACCGAGCATCTTGAGTGGCTCACAGATCGGTATAATTGATCCGCACGAGAAGTTCTTTGCCGACAACAGGAACCGACGAACAGGGTACAGTTGGCCAATGAAAAAAGCCCGTGACGTAATGAATACTATACCAGACCAATTCAGCCCTTACAAAGGGGTATTTGACTGCTCAGAGGATGTTTTCTCCAGGGGCTTCTACAAAGGCACACTGTTCCGCTTCCCACTGCGCACCAAGCCGTCTGAGTTATCGCAGACACTGTACTCTGCAGAGAAGGTGCAGACGTTGTTTGAGGGTTTCATTTCAGATGCCCACTTGGTTCTTCTTTTCCTGCAACATCTCGAGTCCATTGAACTTTACGTACGTGATGAGTCAGACGCTGAACCCCAAACAACGTTTCAGGTTCGGATTGCTGAAGAAAGTCTTCAGTTGGCACGGGAAAAGAGGCAGGAGTTTCACCACAAGATCAGCGACGGAAAGCTTATGGCTGATCCTGTTACGGCGACGTACCCAATAACGATTGAGACGGTGTATTTCTCTCAAGGGTTAGAGGCCAGCACCCAACAGCATTCTTTTCTTGTGACAAACTACTTTTGTGGCGAGGAAGTATCATCGGAGTTTAAAGCTCTGGCTACAGATGAAAGTCTAAGCTATCTACCCTTAGTTGGCGTTGCCATGGCAATTTCACAACGCTCTGCGCAACACACGGGTCACGTGTTTTGTTGCCTACCATTACCAGTTCAGAAAACCAGCCTGACAGGTTTGCCAGTGCACGTAAATGGTTTCTTTGCTTTGAGCCAGAACAGACGGTACATCAAGTCTCCAAATGCAGAGCAGGATGATCAACAGCTGACTGACAAGTCCCTGTTATGGAACAGATGTCTGTTAACCGAAGCTATTCCCAAGGCATATGCAACGATGATAATGGATGCCATTAACGAAAGGAGCTTCAACATGGAAACAGATGATATTTACAAGTAAGATTAAAACACTTCCAATTAAATGCTCGTGTTATTTTGCAGACATGCTTAATGTTCACACACTATGTTGGCTTTCGATGAGGACCCCTTGAAAGCTGAACGGTTAACAAAGCCAGCCCTTATGGTTAGCAATGTGCTAACTAAGGTTATTTTCTCATTCCATTTCTCATTCCAAGATAATCATGTTTGAATTGTGTGTGTATATGATATGAAATGATACGAAAGTCTGATACCTCACTTCAAATGAACAGTCAGCGGAGAAAATTCTGACTCAGCAATCCATGACGAGCCGTCATCTAAAAACCATTTGTTCGATAACGTTTCTCTAGCACTATTGTACCCGGCTATTTATCGTGACAATGAATTTACAGTTTGCCACCCCTTGTTTACTTACATCGTTTTGGTTTCTTCTGGTTTTATCATTGATATTTTGTTTCTTCTTAGGGCATGGCCTAATGTCGACATTCTCGATCAGAAATGGAAGAAAATTCAGGATCCCTTGTTTGAGGCACTTTGCAGTGAGAAGATCATTTACACCCGAGCTGGAGGAGGCAGGTGGCTGAAAGTGGAAGAGGCTGTCTTTGATAAACTTGATGACAACGAGCTCAAGGAGTTGCTTTCGCGGGTTTTGCTCCACGCCAATGAAAATGTTGCCTCCATGCCTTACCACGTGTTAAAGACCGTTGGCTTGTACGCAGAGGTCCGAAAAGAAATTAACCCCCCATTTGTTCGAAATGTCCTGAAAGAAAACCCTTTTTGCTACAGGAACCTCAGGCGAACGGAGAAATTGAAACTCCTGAAGTTTGTCCTGAGCTGTGAAGGCAACAGATTCACAGAACTGATCGGACTGGAGTTATTACCCATCGCCGGTGGATGCTTCACGTCCTTCGCAAATTCTGATGAGGCTATATATATCGCGTCGCCAGAGCATCCGCAAGAATTACTTCCTGGACTACACCATCGCTTTTTGGATCAGGAAATTGACGTAAACCTTTTCAGAAGTCTAGAAGTAGTTGCCAAGAAAGGTATGGAAGTTACACTTTAACTGATTCTTTTTCAAAGAGCACTAGTTTGGTCCAATACAGAACTCATTGTTTACAAGTGAAGTAGCGTTTGCATTTACCGTACAATTTGACAACTTGAACATGGAAAAAACCCCATTGCTCCCCCCACCCCGTTACTGAGATCTAAAGATTCTTTAGGATCTAGTTGTGCGTGTCAGGTAGATTACGGGGTGCTTCAAAAGTTCGTTCCGATTTAAATTGTTAATTTTTTGATCAAATCAATTGTTTGTTAGAACTTCGTCAATAAATTGAGGTAGAGAATTTATCGAGATAGCTGGCAATAGCAATTTTAGTCGTCCACTAGATGCCTTTGTTTCGATTTTCGTGCGAAATGTGCACCCAAGCGTTTTCCCGCCATTTTTTCACGCCCCTTGTGTATGTTGTTCCTTTCCCGAATTTGTTGTTATTCTCTAAGTTTTTTCCCGAACTTTCTGCTTTCTCTGTCGCGAAAATGAAGTCAGACATTGTTTATGCTAGAGCTCAAGCAGCCATATTACGATCATCTGGTCATTCAGTCAAAGAAATCGCTAATTTTTTTAACAAGACGGAACGTTGGGTGAACAAGTGATCGAAAAGAGAGTCGTTCAAAGACAAACCAAGAAACGGACCACCGTCTCTTTTGACCAATTGTGCTCGAAAATCAATCGAGAAAGAGAAGCACAAACGGAAACAATTCAGCAAGGAAGCTTGCCAAGTATCTTCAGCAGAAAAGTATCTAAGTTTCGAGCATAACGGTGTGGAGATACATGACTAGGAAAGGATGGAGGGCTTTCAAGCGAAAGAAAATACTCTTGTTGAGCGAAAAGCAAAGGAAAGCCCGTTTGCGATTCGCCAAGAAATACGCGAACCTGACAGCGGAAAATTAGGACAATTTTTTATTTACACATGAGTGTCCTAAATATCTTTTCCAGTAGCCTAATCCAAAAACCGATATCGTATGGGGCTCGCAGGAATGCGATGTTCCTCCAACTTTCCAAGTGAAGCAAAGTGCGCAGGTGATGTGGGGTGGCATGAAGGGTCGTGGGCTTACAAAGTTACACATGCTACCCATAGGCCAAGCCTTAACTTCTGAGTACTACATGAAGCAAATCCTTGAGAAAGAAGTGAAACCGTTAACATCAAGGCGTTAGGTGACCGGTGGCCCGATAGAGAGGAAGTTGTTTAGCTCAAAGAAAGACATGACATTCGTTCAGGATGGAGCACCGGCTCCTTCTTCAAAGGGAACTCAGCCATGGTGTCAAGAGAATTTGCCATACTGTATAGCCAAGGATGGCTGGCCAGTGAACTCTCCTGATCTCAATCCCATTGAGAACATCTGGAATATCACTGACGAGACAACGTACAAAGATCCAGGCCCAAAAACGATGACAGAGCTTAAAAGGCGACTACGCTTTCCATGGAAAAATGTGACTCTCGACACGCTAAAGGAACTCGCACATTTTATGCCTAGGCGCTTAGAAAAAATCATTAACAATAAAGGTGGGCATTCTGGCTACTAATCATTTGAATGATCGAATGTAAAATGAACAAAAATAATATACGTAATTTTTAAAAAGGTAGGTGAAATAGATTAATGAAACTTTAGAGAAAACAAATCGGAACGAACTTTTGAAACACCCTGTAGGGTTTCTGACGCTAGAGTTGTATTACTGATAACTTCTAACCACTGACTGGCTCAGGCATTTAAACTCGAATAAAAATATTCGTTCTTAGGGTAAAACACTTCTTGTACTGTATAAGTTTTTGTCCTGAATGCTACTATGGTTCACTCACCAGATGCTCGGACTCTGCAGGGCGTAAGATAAAACGTACTTGGTGCGAGCTGAAGTACTGTCAAAGTTTTGTTTGATAAATTAACACGATCCTGCCGACCAGGTAATATTCGCATTAGTAAATTAGGTTTGTTCCTTTACTGTTATACAATAGGAAGCACTCAGCTAAGGCATCTTTGCCAAGATGACGTCGCTACTCTTCTCCCTACATCATTACCGCCCGAATGGTCAGAAGGAGAGAAAGTGCACTGGTACCCTGGTGCAGCTAACAATGGCCATCCCAAAAGCAACTGGCTTAATGTGATATGGGACTATCTTAGCAAGATGTTTCCCTCAAAAGAAGGGCTGAGCAGGTTCCGAGGTCTCCCATTGATTCCTATTGATATGTCACAAGTTCCAGTCCAATTAACACGACTTGAACTACCATCTAAGACAGTTGTAAGGAGTCTCCATGGGGATTGTCTCGACGAAATCATCACCAGCGCTTTGGAGGAGCTTGGAGTGGTTATTATTCGAGAGTGTCCTGTTTTCTTAAGCCAACATTCGGCGATTACCAACCATTTTGTTTATGCTCCATCGCCGCAAAGTGTCCTAAAGGCTCTGACGGCTTGCCTTTCCGAAAAGAAAATTAGCATGTGTTCAGTAACGACCGAGGGCAAGCGCTCCATACGAAATTTCGTTTGCAAGGTGTCATCCGTGGGACCATTGGAAAAGGCAATTCTTTCTGGTCTCCCATTGTTTGAAACTCAGAACAAATCATTTGTTTCCGTGGAAAGCGGTCTTCGTGTTGCACCAGAAAGTCCCTTGCCAGTGGCGTCTCGTCGAGATTTCATAGACATCACGCAAGAGGATTCCAAGAGGCTGGCACGTTTGCTGGGGATTGAAATCCCAACAATGATTGCTTTTCTGCTTGAAGAAGTCTTTCCAGATGTCAGAGATGGGAATTATTCAGTTGAGGAGATGGATGTTCTTATGGCGTTTGTGATGGAGCGATATCAGGTGTATGCAGCATTAGATTCCCGTCTTGAAGAGGAGATGAAATCATTGCCATTTGTACCAACACTCGCTGGGCGGGTGACACCTACGAAGGTCTTTGATTCCAGAAATGAACTGCTACAGTGCATTTTTGCTGATGAGAATGTCTTTCCAATTGGAACGCAGTACACTGATCCTGCCGTTCTTGTAGTCCTAGGGAAACTTGGTTTGAAAAGTGAGGACAAAATCACTGCGCAAGACCTTTACCAAAGTGCGAACAAGATCGCTGACATGTCTGACATATTGACAGCGGAGAAGAAGTCGGAAGCGATCAAGGCGTATTTATTCAGACATCCGACGACACTACAAGAAACTGTTCATGGAACAGCACTGGGAGTACTCCTGCAAAGTATCGCTTGGGTTTCAGTACTGAGACAAAAGCCCCATGGTTTTCCAAGAAGCCTACATTTCTGGGTAGAAACTCACGAAGGGACCCATTTCTGCAAGCCCACAGAAGTCGAGAACAAAGATAACGTGAACCTCATCGGATCAGTGAGGCCAATTGTTGAAGTAGATTCCTCCAGTCAATTAGCGAAATGTTTAGGATTGGACGAGATGCCCAGTGTTTCGGATGTTGTGGAACAGTTGAAGGCGGTGATGGGTTGTTACACCCTAGAGGAAAGGCCTCTTTATATCTCAGTTGTGAAGGATATCTACTCCTATTTAAGTTGTGCTGCAAACACCTCTGCTATCAAGTACGCGTTTCAAGGAGTCGAGAATTTACGCTGGATGTGGAATGGAGACGGCTTTTCCTCACCTAACGCTGTGCTTGCACAAAAGCCTTCTGTCGACCTCTCGCCATATATTTCATGTCTTCCTGCAGAGGTAACGCCTTTTTCAAACTTCTTCTCGAAGTTTGGCATGCGAAAACACTGCGACGCCCGTATTTTGCTTGAGGTTCTTCGCATGATAAAACAGAAGTATGATTCCGGATGTAGCTTTGCTGCTTTAGAAGTAAAGAGGGATTTGCAGCTATCTGCGGACATTCTGAATGAGATCAAACCAAACGAAGGTGAGGAATTGCCTGCTGAGCTTAAAGAAAAAATACTCATCCCAACTCATGTAGAAGGCGATTCATGTGTCAAGCTTGCACCAATTAAAGATTGTGTGTACTGTGAAGATGAATGGATGGAAACCGAGGATTATGATGAAAACATGAACGTTTTGTATGTTCATCCAATCATTCCTAGGAGCACAGCTCAGCTTTTGCGGATTCCTCCAAGTAAGATTCGGATGCTAGAACCTGACGAAATGAACATAGGAGACGAATTTGGTCAAGAAGAGAAATTAACCCGCAGACTGAATCGACTTCTGGAGGACTACACGGATGGATTCGCCATTCCAAAAGAGCTGATTCAAAACGCAGACGATGCTGGTGCCACTGAAGTTCGATTTCTATACGATGAAAGAGCCAATGAGGACGCCATGAGCCGTCTGTTCGACGAGGAAATGGGGGAATGTCAAGGTCCTGCCTTGTGGGTTTACAATGACGCTGAGTTTCAGGATGAAGATTTTGCAAACATAAAACAATTGAATGGTGGTACAAAAGAGCTCCACACTGAGAAAATTGGAAAGTTTGGACTTGGCTTTAATGCCGTGTATAACTTGACCGATGTCCCTATGTTTCTAAGTAGACACTATTTTGTGATTTTTGATCCCAACAACTTCTATTTGGAAAAGGCATTCGGAAAGAAAACACGTGGAGTTAGACTCGACATCAACAAGAAGAGAAAGAAACTAAGAAAGTACAGTGGCCAGTTCAAACCGTTCAATGGTATCTTTGGTTGTGATCTTCACCTAGATAAGGACGACAACTCATATCAAGGAACACTGTTTCGCTTCCCTCTAAGAACCAAAGATCAAGCCGTGAGAAGTGAAATAAAGCAAACTCACTATGATGACAAACAAGTTCGAGACCTCTTGGAGATTTTCGTCAGCGGTGCTAGAACCGTGCTTCTTTTTACTCAAAACGTTCGTCGCGTTAGCATCTTTCATTTGTCAAATTCAAGTGAGGCAACACAGCCCACGCTGATTTTCGAGGTCAACAAGTCGTTATCGCGATCTGGGATTATTCGAGAGCTGCCTATCCCAGTCACCCTGTCAAACAATGTGAAGAAACTTAGCCAAGACGACCAGTACTTCTTAAAACAGTGCAACTTCCTACGAGCTTCATCAGAGGTAGCACAGTATGTTGCAAGGGAGAAACTATCTGGGGCAGATTTGCTACGTTCAGCGCTTACCATCGATATGACGAGCACCGTCACGGAACAGGGAAGTTCATTCTTTGTCGATAACGATCAGTTACGAAGTGCATCAGAAACATGGCTCCTCGCTTCGTCCATTGGCAGAGGGATAGCGATGCAGTTTTCAGTAGCTGACAAGACTCTACTTCCAGCAGCTGGGGTTGCTGTCCAGTTGATGCCTAACGTGTGTGGAAAGTTTGCTCCAGTACCTGTTACAGAGCAAGAATCACGCCACGATGGAACGGTGTTTTGCTATCTTGCACTTCCAGTCCACAGTGGACTACCTCTGCATATTAATGGCGCACTTGCCGTAGCTTCCAACAGACGCCATTTGAAAGAGAGAGCAGAGGGCGACAAAGCCTGTATTGGAGTGGAGTGGAATGATGTACTTTTGAGAGATTCTGTTTGTGCAGCGTATCTAGATCTTCTGGAAGATCTCAAGTCAGCTGCTGGAATGTATTCGTTTCATTTACTGTGGCCCAGGGCGAGTTACGTCGAGCCAAACTGTGAGGCTCTCGTTCGGTCATTCTATCAGCAGGTTGCAGATGGTAGTTGCTCCCTCTTTTCAGATGGCAACAGATGGGTAGACATGAGCCAAGTTGTCTTTCTAGAGCCAAACTTTCGTCAGGAAGAACAAATTGGTGACATCTTGTTTACAGTTTTCAAGATGCTGATACAAGAAAATGTGGCCGTTATTGATCTGCCAACCGACATCTTGCAATCATTTGTGAAGTATGGTCTTGCCGACAAAATACAGTCGAAGCTGTATGGTAAAGACAGGTTCTTCCGCGAGTTATTCTTTCCAAACATCGCTGCAGTACCACCTGAGCTGAGGGACAAGTTGATCTTGTACGCCCTAGATGAAGGAGATGGAAAATTTGACGAACTTGTGAATACTTATCCCTGTATTCCAGCCTCACCACGTGGTCAGAAACTCAAATGTCCGCATCAGCTTGTCAACCCACACAAAGAAGCCGCCTCTCTCTTTCGTGCGGAAGATGAACGGTTTCCTTTTGGCACGGAGATGACATTGTTGAATCCTCTACGACTGGCCAAACTTGAGCAACTCGGGATGATGGCAAATGATCCTACATGGAATGTATTTGCAGAGAGAGCAGAGAGTGTTAACATTTTAAATCAAGAAAACAAAGACGCAGCATTAAAGCGCACTACATCGTTACTACATCTTTTGGCGAAGAAGCTGAACAATGAAGAAGACAGCTCACCTCCGGAAGGAGTCCAAGACAGGATTTTACAAGCTAAATTCCTCCCAGTTGCTGCAAAACCAAACGAGTTTCCTCTCCTCTGGAAAGAGAACGATCTTCGACGTAAGAATGAGAAGATATTGATGTCACCCATAGAAGCCTTTCCAAAAACCGCGAAATATTTAGTGTGCTGCTCTGAAGCAATTGTAGGTATTTACATACCTTTCATTGTTAGGAGTTTCTTACTTTTGAACGAAGACAGGGTCACCACGAGACATGTCGTTACCCAACTTCAGTTTGCCTCAAGTACAAATGCTGAAAGCCTGGATTGCCAGGAATTCGAAGAAGTGCAAGCAGTATGCTTGGCAGCATACAGGTTTCTCCAGTCAGCCCTCAATGACCAAAAACTAGAAGAAAGGCAAGTGACGGAGATTTTTCAGGAAAAGAAAATAATTCTCCTGGGAAGAGAATTTGTGCATGCAAATCACGTTGCTTTTAAGTTGACAACTGACTGCTCTCCTTACCTCCATAAGCTGTCTGATGATCTTGCAAGACCATTTCGTAACTTGATGAAGATCCTTGGGGTAAAGGAAGTCTTTGAAGGCAAAGATTTCATATTTTCTTTGGAGAGAATAAGGTGCAAGTTTGGAGACACAGCGCTTGATGAAAAGACCCTTCAAATTGCGCTTAATCTGGTTGGTCAATTAGCTAATTGTCTAAAAGGATCTGAGGAGAATGACAATGTTAAGGAAAGACAGGAAGTAATTTACCTTCCAGATTCCCAAGGCGTAATGCGCCTTGCTGACGAACTTTGCTTGAACGATTACGATTTCCTACCAGACGACGTTGGTGTTAACTTTGTAAATGAGTTGATTTCTCATCGAACAAGTATCACGCTGGGCGTAAAAACACGTCGGGAAAAGGCATTGGAACGCTTTACTGTTGGAATTCAGTTTGGACAAGAAGAGAAGTTGACGAACCGCTTGCAACGAATTCTCTCGGCATACCCATCTGAGAAGGAAATCTTAAAAGAACTTATCCAGAATGCTGATGATGCCGAAGCAACAGAAATTTACTTCATCAAAGACCCAAGACAACACGCTGATGACCAGGTATTTGAAGATTCTTGGAAACCTCTTCAAGGCCCTGCTTTGTGCGTGTACAACAACACGCCATTCTCGGAAGCTGACATTAAAGGAATACAGAACCTTGGTGAGGGCAGCAAAGGGGATGATCCAAACAAGACTGGTCAATATGGGGTGGGCTTCAATGCTGTTTACAACTTGACGGATGTACCATCCTTTACCTCGAGTGGAGAAGAGATTGGTGACGTTTTGTGTGTGTTTGATCCTCACTGCAAATATGTACCTGGGGCAACTACACAAGCGCCAGGACGGATGTACAAGAAAACCACAGAATTGAGACATATGTTCCCTGATGTATTCTCATGCTATATTGAGGAACATTTTCCCGTACAAAACTCCACCATGTTTCGATTTCCTCTTAGGACTGAGGAGATGGCTAAAGAATCCAAAATATCCCAGTCTTCAGTCACACTGGAACAACTTGATAGAATGATAGAATCATTAAAAGGGGAACTTTTTGAGGTTCTTCTCTTTGTCAACAATGTTAGGAAAATCACGTTGTGTGAGATCGACGCAAAAGGAACAGTGGTGAACTCTTATTTCGTTGAAGCTCAAATATCAGACGACGATCTGGCCAAAAGGCAACAGTTCGCGGCCTACATTAGGAAGACTTGGAAATCAAAGCAACAAAAAAGTGATGTCCTGCCTATAGAAGCCGAGGTTAAGAAGTGCTCCTATGTTCTGAACGTAAGAGACTGCACTGGGAAAGAGGAGAAGTGGCTAATTGTCCAACAGTTTGGGTTTGAGAACCAAGTGGAAAGGAGCATTGTCGATGCTTACCGGAGACACGATTTGGGTTTGCTCCCTCGTGGTGGCGTTGCTTGCCAATTGGAAAACAAACACACAGGGCAACTTCCATCGGATCGAAGCAAGAAAGCCTACTGCTTCCTTCCGCTTCCTATAGAGACTGGCCTTCCAGTCCACATCAATGGCCACTTTGCATTGGAGCACGAGAGCAGACAACATTTGTGGAGAAGGGCAAATGAAGACTACCGAAATGACTGGAACAATGCGTTAGTGAGCGATGTCATAGCATCATGTTATCTAGAACTCTTAGACGGAGTAAGGAATTTCCATCACTTGCCTGTCGTCCAGAATCTAGAACAAGCAACCCTTAGCTGCAGCACAGATGATCTGATGAGAATTGTACGTGACTACGAGAAGCGTTTCCCTTCCGTGAACGTGACCGATCCTTACTGGGAGACGTTAGTGAAGTCTTTTTATCAAGAAATGGACCGGAAGAAGTTGCGACTTCTACCAGTGGTGCGAGGTGAGGTATCAGCAAATTCCAGTACCAAAACTAAGCTGGAGTGGCTTCCTGTCACAGGGGAAGGGAGAGATCAGGCGTTTTTTAACAACATTGGAATGGCCGACTGTTTTAATGCCTATCCTCATGGGGTGCTGGAAACAAGAAATATACTTACCTTCCAGCAGATTTTGCTCCAAACAGGCTTTAACCTTGTCGCATTTACCTGGTCGGTGTATGTGGCACTGGAAAAATCTGATGTTAGAGCTTGTTGCGTTTCCCCTTCTGCTGTGATGCAATTCTACAAGTCTTTTAGCTGCGAAGAGTCGTTTTGCAAAATTGGGCCAGTATCTGTTGACGTCAAAGAAACACCATTCAAATCTGCCGAAGTCGTGGAACTGGTTCTTAGGTACTGTAAGGACGACAAGGAGTTTCAAGCTAATCTTCCAGGCCTTCCATTGCTTCTGACACAAGACAACTATTTGCGCACATTTAACGCCAACGATCCTAAGTTCCTTTCTCTCCATCATGACATCCTACCAGAATGCCGACAAATGTTTGTGCATAAACATATTCGAACGCGAATCTTTGGTGATGCTAAGAGCTTAAAGGCCCCTGTGTTCAAGTATTTTGATATCAAGAGTTTTGCCGCTAACTTACATCAAACGCTACCACTCGCGTATTACAGCAGTGAGGGATACGTGAAGTGGTGTCCTAAGCAGCCCGGAATTCCAAATTGGGCGTGGATATACAGCGTTTGGAGGTTCGTTTCCGACGAGATAAACAAAGTCCTCGAAGAGATAAAGGCGAAAGAAAATGCAAACATTAAGTGCATTTTAGCGACAGACGAATGTGAAGAAGAAAAGTGGAGAAAACTTGAAAAAGCCAAGACAACTGAAGAGGAGAAGACTAGAATTATTCAAGCAACTCTTGAACCACTCTCTAATTGGAACCTCCTACCTTGTACCGAGAAGACCCATTCAATCGAGTCACAAGGGAGAAGCTCTTTTCGATTAGGTATTGAACACTTTCTGGTTCCCCTCGGGCTGTCAGAAACCATCCTTGATTTTCATGGTATCGCCGATCAGTCGCTTGTTGATACATTAAAGAAGCTTAGTTTGGCTGAATTGAACTCAGCTGTTTTGTCCTCACCAGGCCCGTTGCCGGGCGTATCTGCAGATCACCAGATTCATGCTCGCAGGCTTGTAGCATCCCTTAGGACACCATCGTCCATTTTGACATCCTTGAAACAGAAGATGATGAGAAATCCGCATTCACTGGAGGGAATTTTAACCACAACCGAGTGCGACAATATTTTGCACTATTTCAGCAGTAACGTTAAACGTCTGAAGGGGAGTGATGAGAGCATACTAAGAACTCTTCCTTTCTACGAAGCAACACATGGTGAACTGGTTGATTTGAAAAATCACAAAGTTTACGTGGTCCCCGATGACTTACCAAAGAAAGAGTTAAATGAGGTGGGGAATCAGGCTGGCGTGGTATTTCTGAATTCCCGACCATGGTTGTCTTCGTTATTTAAATTTCTCTCCGTGAAAATCCTCAGAACGGCTGATGTGTACTGTAAGTTTGTTTTGAGTCATTTCTCGCTACTCTCTAAGGAAGCACGGCTGGNTGAGGTGGGAAATCAGGCTGGCGTGGTATTTCTGAATCCCCGACCATGGTTGTCTTCGTTATTTAAATTTTTCTCCGTGAAAATCCTCAGAGCGGCTGATGTGTACTGCAAGTTTGTTTTGAGTCATTTCTCGCTACTCTCTAAGGAAGCACGGCTGGATCATCTGGAATGTATTCGCGACATTGTTTTGCCGCGATTATCCAAGGAGATTGACGAAAAAAAGCTCTTAATTGACCGTCTAAAAAACACAGAAATTGTTCCAGCCAACGACGGAACGCTCAAGACAGCATTCTGCTATTACGACCCTGAAAATGATATTTTCAAGTTAATGCTATCAGAAGATGACTTTCCCCCAGACCCTTTCAACACCTCAATGTGGCTAGACTTTTTCAAAACCATCGGAATGATCCATGACATTTCTCAGGATCTTTTTAAGACCTTTGCTAACGAGGTTGCGCGTGAAGGACTGACGCTCCCTACTCCAAGTACGGTCAAAAAATCTAGCGCCTTGGTGGCTCACTTATTCCAGCGAGACAACGTTGTAGAATCAGGTCTTCTTCAGGCTGTCTCTGGCATCAAGTTTGTCGCCACTTCAGTTAGCCCAGAGCTCCGTTCGATCCACAGACAGTTCGATGAACCATACATCGCATTTAGAGGATCCACTCTAGCCGAGCATACTAACATTGTTTGGACCACAGCACCTCTTCTCCCTGATTGGGCAAATCCAAGGAACCGTTTATACGATTCAGAAGATGGTTACTGCAAAGCAATCCTCTACCACCTGCAAGTCATCACAGTGCCTACCGTAGAGATGGTAACCTGCCACTGCCGGAACCTGTGCCTCCAACTGGTGAAAGAGAACGGCAGCGATCTGAGTTCAAAGCAGCTTTCAACAAGGATGTTAGTTATGACGGAAATCTACACATTCCTACAGAAAAATGCCATATCAAGTACCACAGCGAAGATGTTATTGAGAGGCACATCTTGCATTATGGTTGAGCAAGGAAGTCGTTTAGTAAAACCTGAGCAAGTGGTTATTGAACTAAGCGAGGACAATGAGATAGCACCTTTCCTGTACGGAATGCCAGCAGAACTAGGTCAGTTTAAGGCACTTTTCCAATATCTGGACTGCTCCAATTCAGTACGTCTTTCACACTATGCCATGGTACTGGAAACGCTGCAGAGAAAATGCAAGGCCGACAGACTCAATTCAAATGAGGTCGATTGGGCTTTAAGCGCGGTTAGGGGTCTTTTTGAATTCTTGCAAGATAATTCCAAAGTAATTCAGGCCCCTTCTTCATTGTACCTACCAGCTGTGCGTCCCTTTGGCAGTAGTTTTGAACATAGCACAAGACATGTCGTGTTGACAAGGGCGGCAGAGCTTCTCTTTGATGACGCTCCTCGTCACCGGGATCGCATTCAAAATTTTGACCAGCTCTTTGTGGTGGACCTAAAAAAGGCCAAAGTGCGTTGCAATTCATCTACGAGTTTCAAGGATCTAATTTTGCGTCTTCCTGAAGCTTTACGGCCTCACATGTTGTCCTGTGTCGTAGAAGAGAAGTTGGCCGATGCCGTTGACAACACCGAGTTCTATGACATGGGCGCCCCCGGATCACTAAAGAAGCAACTGCATTCAGTGCAATTCTGTCGTGGGATTTTCAGGCTCATTCGTCACGCTAGCCACGAAAACCAGGAACTAGATGACGAAAGTGTGGTGTCCTCTGTTGAGAGCAGATTACAAAACATACAGATTCATGGAATGAGGAAAATTGTAACTCATCTGGTTTATAAGGGAAACGTTGTTCCGGGGAGTGAAAGAAAGGTACCCTACTTTTTGCAGAAGATTTCGCAGTCCGAGCACGAGATTTGGAACTTGTACGTTGATGCTGTAAACGATGTCCGGGAAACACCATCTATAGTAGCTCTGACATTATCAAAAGTGATCAAAGAAGCTTGTAGAGGACTGCTGCAAGACACAGCAATGTATATCCCTGAAATGCTGCGTTGCCATCCTGGTAGGATTAGCGCTTTACTAGATAGTATGGAGATACGACCAGATGACTCCTATGATGAAGAAGGAAGAGACGTCTTGCCATTACCAGGCAGCTTTGTTCCAATTTTAGATCACCAGCTTCTCAATCTTGCCTTTGAATCATTTATGCCTGGAGAGTACGTTGGATACGAGTTGGAAGATCACAGTATGGAACTGGAGGAAGGTGATTCAACGTTCATCTATGCTGTGATTATCGAGGAAGTATCAAGTGGCAATGAAAGTCTGCTCGCAAAGGTTTACAAGATCAACATTGGGGACGACAAAGAGTCAAAGGATGTCCCAGCTACTGATTTGTACAAATTTTACCGACCTGCACCAACTGCAGTAGTTCTATCAGATCGACAGAGAGACGAGGAAGAGGCTTGGAAGCTGCCAGTAGACATCAGAAGAAAAGCTATCAAACGGCTATCAAACGCCGGCTATCCTCAACGTCGACAGGCAATGCGCTGGTTCAGACAGACGGAGGCCGACCTAGCAGCTGTGCTAAGCGACATAGACCCTGCAAAGCCGTCTTACGAATGGGCCTGTTTTAAATGCCATCAGGTAAGCATGCGAACGTTTCTTCCTTTCCCTAATTTCCTAATTAGTTGTCCTGATCAGTGCTAAAGGGAAGCGTTCATCCTAAAGCATTAACATCGAATAAATACTAAAACTTGCTACAAAACGTGTTCTACAAACCTAAAAAAAAAATTTACCAGGGTCATCGCTTACTTTAATTTGAAAGCCCTCTGAAAGGCCAAAAATTCCATGTCCCCATGGTATGTAAGGAGGAAGTGATTGCTTGTACTTTTCAGGTATTGCTGAAATGAAAGATCTCCTATAGACCCGTTTTGTTTTTCGCCATGAAAACCCAGGTTTAAGTGTAACAGTTGGTAATAGACGCCTAGTATAGGAGAAATATTTATCTTATTCTATGCTTTAACATATAGAACGGGTGGATATTTTGCGAGTTGTGAGGTATTTTCCGGGGCGAGAAAAAATACGAGCTTTGAGCAAAATGTCCAGACGTATTACATGTTAAACCATTAAAAAGGAAATTTTATTTCACTGCAAAATCTTTTTGCTATTCTTTCCGTATTTTTGTGTATCTTTTTCACTATTATAAGACTGTTGAAATCCATCCGCATATGGCGAGTGGGTATCTAGACAAGACGGAAGGCAACACAATGTCTTTTATTTGATTGGATAACATGGAAAGATCAATGACAAGTGATTGACACGCTAAAACTACAACCTTGGTCACCAGGGTTGGGAAAATTCATTTTATACGCATTTTGCCCCTCTCCACCCCTGTGCAATGTTGACAAAACACTTTGATCTAACACAAGTTTGCATTTTACTATTTTACAACACTGAAAGTGGGAATGGGGGTGCTGGCACTTATTCTGTAGGTATTACGGTTATGATTTTATGCTTTTGCCATTTTCCAACACAATTTGTTCATGGTTATGACAAGTGATTGACACGCTAAAACTAGGTTTTGGGCCTGCATCGTGCGAAAGCAATTTTTCATTAACGACAAATTGAAATTAAAAGAACGAGCCAAGAACATCTCAAATTTTTTTTAGCAGCTGTAAAAGCAAGAAATTATTTATAGCGAAAAATAAGTTTCACGAGCGTCTGAATCCGAGTTTTCGTTGAGTTTTTGCCTCTGCCTGCATGACGGAACTGCTTTTCTTTGGAAGACAGAGCTTCTCTAGCGTTCTTGGACTATCTCCCCGCGAGTATACTGCATTTGTTATCACATCACAGTGTATGAGGTGCTCATATTGTGCGTGTTCTCTTTACCGTCTATGGTGAAATGACATAATAGTGGAATAGTAAATTGAAGTCTCGATCAGCCGTACATTGAAGAGGTTGAAGAGTTTACCTACCTCGGTAGCGTGATGAATAAGACTGGAGGAACGGATGAAGACATGGCAGCAAGAAGAAAGAAAGCACAGCAAGCTTTTGCCATGCTTACACCAGTCTGGAGAAGCAAAGACCTGCGCACAGCTACCAAAATTAGAATTGTTACGGCAGTTTTACTGTACGGTTCAGAGACATGGCGAGTGACGACAGCTTCTACAAAGCAAGTACAAACATTCATCAACAAATGTCTGAGGAGAATTCTGAGAGTATATTGGCCTGAGCTGATTCCTAACAAAGATTTATGGATAAGAACTGGACAAGAGCCTATTGTTACCACCATAAAGAGGAGACACTGGAAATGGATTGGTCATACACTAAGGAAGGGTGAGAGAAACATAGCACGCCATGCGATGGATTGGAATCCACAAGGAACACGGAAACGTGGCAGGCCCAGAATTACATGGCGCAGCAGCATACAGAAGGACCTGAAGGAGATCAACATGACCTGGTGCAAAGCCAAAAGAGCGGCTCAGGACCGACAGAAATGGAAAGCAATTGTTGACGCCCTATGTCCCCCATGAGACAAAGAGGACTAGATGATGATAATGATGACTTGACTGGGGTTATAAATTTTTGTCATTTTGACCCTTTTGTAGTAAATTCTGTTTGATTTGACCAATCAAACACCAGGTACACATAGCTGGAGTTAATGTCAGAAATGCTGAGCTTCCTGAAAGCACAGTTACCCCTCCCCCAATGCCTCCTAGTCTCAAATATCCCAATCCCTCTCCACCACCACTTAAAGGAGAAGGTCACTCCAAAAAACGTATATTTTTGTCAACATTAATAAAAACCTCGTACTACATTTAGCCACTCACCGTAGTTTCGGCCTCTAATGTGTATGCAGGTTTTCCTTATCAAATTCATTTGCAAAGAAGCCCAAAATATGTATTCCATATCATTGCCACCATTTTGAACAGTACTCAGCAGCCAGGCAGTGTTTTTGTGACATCATTCCATCTAAGAGATTTTGTCCATTTGGCTTCCAACAAGCCTTTTAAGTACCACTTTGGGTTATGGCCACTCTCGAGCCATATTCGTTTGAGCTAAACATGCTCCAAACTCCGAAAATGATAGCAGTGAAGTTAATGAAGTGGATAATTGCTTGGGAAAAATACATTTTGCTTTGCTTCTTGCCAATTTCAAGTCGGACAGAATGATGTCACACGAACACGGCCTGGCTGCCAAGGACAGTTTCAAAATGGCGGCCTCCGAAGTCGCTTCTTTCAAGATGAATTTCTTCAGGAAAGCTGGCATTTCAGAGGCTGAAACTTTGGTGAGTGGAAAAGCTAAATGTTCACTTGCTATAGGTGAAGACAAAAAAGTAAGCTTTTTGGGACAGTTGAGGAACTGGTAGAATCAAACACAATGAATGTTAACAAGAAGATGTCAAACAGGAAGACCAAACCTTCTCAGTGGCAACAGCATGCATCAAAACAGGCTAAACTTGTGAATACAAATTATGAAAGTTTAAAAAAAAGTTTGTAAGGGAGGCCAATCCTATCTCAGTGGTAACAGGATGCTGCCCCTTTCCACCTTCACAAACAAAATTAATGTCTGGAAGCAGGCCAGACTGGTAAAATTAAACACAATGAAAGTGTACAAAAAGATGTCAAAAAGGAAGGACAAAACTTTGCTTAATGGATGTATGTTGCATTAGTGTAATTCAAGTTGTTACAATTACTTTTGTTCCATGACATTCAATTTTCTGTTTGTGTGGTTACTAGTGGCCCTGTAAGATTATTTTAATTGCCTTTAATTACATTTGTGACAAGTAACTGTTTTATGTTAATTTCTGTTTCTTCACAGAGGGACCAGCTCCTCCAACCCCTCAAAGAGTACTACCTCCTTCAACTCTTCAAAGAGACCAACCTCCTCCAACCCCGCAAAGGATACCAAGGGCTGCACCTCGTGGCAC